ACTTTTCACTTTATAAATAATTTTATATAAATACTGTTATATGCACAAGAATATTTCTATACAGCAAATAAATTAACATACATATATATAAGAAACTGTTATATATTTATTTTACGACTGCGGATATCGTTTTCGTTCAGTACCAGTGGCTTGCTTTTACTCCCACTAAAACCTAAATATGCGGTCCTGTAAGGAAACCTTATGTGCGATAAAGGGTTAGCCACTGGGTATGCTTTTCTTGCCAAAGCATTTCTATTCTTTAATATTTCTATTTTGTTATCTGTTTTTTTGTTTTTCTATTATTTTTACTTTCATTTTGGAATTTGTTGTTTTGTTTTTTGGGTTTGGTTGAACTTATATACAAATTTTAAAATATTTGTATTATAATTCATAGCATTTTGAATACAGTGAAATCTTTTTCATTTGAATATGAAAATTTTTAGAAGAGAAGATCCATTGAAATACTAAACAAATAGATCGTTGTACGTCTAGTTTTTGTGGCTCAATTAATTAGACTCGCTAGAATTTTTTACACATGTTTTAATTCATTTTCAGGTTTTACCAAAGTTATTCACTGAATGTGTAATTTAATTTGTTGACTTAATAACTGAGCTTTGTTATCTTATTGTACCATGAGGCAATATTTATATTTATTCGTTTTTTTTTTATTTGTTTACAAATGATGTTATTGTTTAAGTCCAACCTTATATATAATTGTATTAAGGGTTTAGTAGTAGCAGTAGTAGTAAGAAAAGGGAGCCCAGCCTGACCACTAAAGCGAAGCCCATGCACTAGGCGAACAAGAAAACCCGCCAGCAACCCTCAATTAACATCTCCCAAGCCTCATGTAATCCAATCAAAAGACCATTTACCCAAAACAACCAGCTTCTTTGGCGAATGTAAAAAACTGCACGAAAGGCTCCCTAACAGGTTGCTCAGAACACGCCTTCTTTTCCACATCAAAGACGGGCAGGGACAAAGAAAATCGTTTACCTTCGCAATATGATGACATCCACGAACAAAATTTAATATAAATATAAGAGAAAAAGCAAATTTGTTTCAAAGGAAGCTTTCCGAAACAACCTTTTCCTTAAATTTTAGGTCACATTTTTATTCATTCAATTAAATTTATTTAAAATTTCCAACTTTCATTTAAAACCCATTTCAGTTTTTAGAAAACATATGAGTATAGCAAGGCAACAATATTAATTGCAATAATCCATAAATTAAAATTAAAATGATTTAAAATTAAAGTGATATCTGATCTTATCCAAAATTATGCAATTATTCATATGGCTCAAATTACCTGTTCTTGACTGTCTTTATTTGTAAATCCACATATTACTATGTTTATAAATATCCTCATATACAATATAGATAGGTATATATACGAGATATTAAAATAATAAGGAATATGAAGAAAATATAAGAGATGAAAATACTGAGTAAAAAGAAGATAGAAATACAAAAAGAAAAGATGAATTGTGTGTATAGAAAGATCCTAAAATCCTATGAAAAATTTTTCTAAGCAAATAATATTCAAAACATAAATGATATCAACATAAGGTGGTGTATATGACATTTGCATAGTCTGTATATATAAACACAAATGTTTATTAATTATAATAATAACAAATACACATATTATATACATTTATACATGAATTCAAAAATTGAAAATTTTAAATATACACATTTGTATATGTATGTATGTATACGAAAATGAAAAGAAGGGAAAAGAAAATTATTTTATATACAATAATTTTAATTCTCTTATACATTGTTACTCAAACTATATATATATATATTGTATATAAATATCTAAAAATTATATACGAACCTACCGTTCAATATTGTTATACACAATCCTATTATATTTAGGTATATACTCGTATATTATAATTTTTCTCCAGTTAAACATACATAGACATTTTAAAATATTTTCTTGCTAGTGGTATTACCGAACAAACCATTTTGGGGTTGAGTTAAATCACATATTTTTACCCAGATCTTTGGGTACATAACTTTAAAATATAATAACCTATTTATGTACTTGCTTTTTAGGTATCTGTGCATATATATATTTCCATATTATGTTATAGATATGATCGTATATAGAGGACTTGAGTCTATATATAAATATTTAGATATACAATAATCTTTATTAAGTATTAGTATATAAATTTTTAATTTAAAAAAAAGAAAATGAATGCTATTGAATAAGAAGATGAAATTTTGTTTTATAGAACAATTTAGGTATATAGCGCGTTCATTTTTGAGTTTTTCTTTCATTTTATTTTTTATTTGCCGTTTTTCCCTAAAGTCTATTTATCATCCTTATACAATAATAATAACAATAATATAATTTTAGAGAAAAATAAGTTTTTTAGTTATTATTTTTGGAAATATATTTTTTTTTTATTCAAAACTATTAAATTGCACTTCTGTATGTATATATATTGTATATATGAGTAAATCTATTTATATATGCAAGTTATTTTAGCCATCTTGAAAAATTTTTTTATTAGAACAAAATAATAAGTGTACACAAAAATGGATGTATATTTAAAAAGGAATAAAAAACAAAAACAAAAACTATTGTAATGAAAAAAAAATATTAAAAATCGAATATTGTTTTATATTTGGTTTCGGGGAAGAAGTTTCAAAACTACGAGTATAAAGGGAATTCCATGAAAATTGTAGAGATTCGTACATTTTATTTAAAGAAATAAATAAGATAAAATTTAAAAAAGAATACACATATATACTCAAAATTATGTTCTTTTACCGAGTGTGTACTCCAAGTTTGTATCATATTTGCAAGTATACACATTCTAGCTACACACACAATATTACAGTAACACCTATCTATAAATACACAATATTACATATTTACATGATATTGTTATTTTATATTTCTTTAAGAAAATCTCATGTATCTTTAAAATAAATTCTTGTATAATCGTTATTGGTAGCTTTAATTTTTAAAATCTACATTTAAATCTGTAATATGAGTCTGTTAAACATATTGTATATATATATATATCTGCAATAATTTCAAATATATAATATATATAAAATTTTAAACTAATATTTTGTAAGTATTATATTACCTAAAACACTACTCATTTCATATATACATAGATATATATCACTATATATACGTTATATATAATATATTATATAATATAGGGTTTAAGGATATATAAGCCGTATTCATATAATATTAAGATGAGAATATTAATGGCAATAAAGAAAGAAAGAAAAAAAGAACTAAAAAAAAACAGACAAAGAAAAGAACGAAACTAATAAAAAAAAAAAAAACTAAAAAAAAATATGGAAGAAGTTTATGGTTTGCTTGGTTGGAGGGGCATAACGTGGTCCCATTGGTGCGCCACAAAAAGCTTTAAAACTTGCAAGTAATAGATGTTCTTATATTTGTATATCGCTTTAGATTAATTTTACATACATATATATGCAGTATATTAATGAATATCATATATAAGAGTAGTAAAATATAAATGTATGTATGTACGTATATTAAATATACTTTTTAGCTATATAAGAGAAAGATTATAAAAAAAAGGTTTAAGTTAATTTTTTTTTTTGTCTTTTTATATTTATTTTATTATTAAAAATACTATAAGACATCATTATAATTTATATACTCTTTTATGTATTATATATACGAATGTAAGGTATATATATAATATATTTTATATTATGACTACATATATGTATAAGTTTATTTTATTATTTATGGGAATCCTAAGGAATCTCATTTTTGTACACCCACAGAAACCAATACATAGAGGTTCATATTTAGCACATTTAAATGAAAAAGCTTTTTTTTATATATATATTTAAATACATATATGTACTTTTAAAATATTATAATAATTGTAGTTTATAAAATAATATGTGCAGCTATTATACAAATATAACTTAACTCTTATATACATATTTTGATAAATATAAAAGTAGTTATAAAAAATATTGAAAAAATAAGATTAATAAGACTTAAAAATAATTACAATATTTTGTATATAAATACACGAGATGCTTGCCTGTATATATTTAAATGTGTATATAGCAGAAAAACTTAGATTTTGAACAATTTTTTAAATAAGGCGTAAAATAATAATTATTGCATATTAATAGAGAATTTCAATATTTTGTTTTAATTTTTCAAATTTTTGCAGACATTTCGGAAATAATTGTAATTGCATAATGCCAGGCTGTTAATTTTAATTTCTTTTTGACTAATAAGTAACATTGAGCAGAAACTGCCCTGTATTGTGAAAGTAAAGCTTTCCTAATGGCCAAAAGTAGTAAAAGAGTTTTTTCTAATTCTTTTATTTAGCAATTTAAATTCAAAAATTTTTGGTCACAGTTTTTAAGTTTTTGCGCTTATGAAATTACTAGAGATTATTTTACTCCAAATAATTGTGCCTTATTATAAGAGTCTTATCACTTATCAATATTGTTAGTTGTATAGCAGTCGTCTCATTCTAGTAATCAAAAAGGACGTTATACAGATGCGATGACAGATGTAATATTCGTGCTTTTATAAAGATTGGCATTTTGACTACAAATCTTTTATTACACATTTATAACTTTAAAATTTATTCCACAAGACCGAAAGTCTTAAAATTTATTTATTTAAAATGTCAACCGGCTAATTTTTAACATGGCGATAAAATAAGTTATCCCTTGGATACGGCACAATTCCTGTTTCGGAAATGGTGAATGTAAAATTACATTAATAGAGTTAATTAAAGCGTCAGATTACATGATCTTGCAACTTTGACCCATATACTTAATATTTAATAATATATATTAATGAATAAATTTAAGAATGTTAGAAACGATGTCCACATTATGGTGCATTAATTCCTATAGAATTTCTCTTACTTAAATTTATAATAAAATTTACTATTGTGTGATTAAAAAACTTGTCTTTTTGCTAATTATTTTTTAATTTTTTTTATTTCTTTCAGGATTTGCTCATCATCTAGCTGGAGTTCATAATCATTTACATGGACATGATTGGCGTATGCTAGGTGGTAATCCGGCAGGTATAGGAAGGCCACCTGGATTTCCACATGCACCCTTTTTTCATCATCAACATCCACCAATTCCACCTCATATATTAGCAAATACATTAGATCGTCTTGACCGTCCTGGTTTACGAAATTTTAACGGTAAATATTTTTTATATTAATGCGTGAAATTTTTTAATTAATTTAGTTATTTTATATTTATTGTAGAAAATCATCATTTAGCACAGTTAAGTCAATTATCAGTTTGTAATCCGCACAGTACAACACAAAGCCCAACAAATTCACCAATACATAATTCTAGTATATTAAGTAATAATAATAATGATAATAATCACAATAACAACAACAATAATAATACTAATAACAGTAATGGTCCCCTAAATGCAACGAATTCAACGCAGTCTATTACAACAATTTCTCCACCTTTAACTAGCAATGAATCATTAAATAATAATGATAATGATAATAATAATATTGATGCAGGTTTTGAAAGTGATAACATATCAGTGACAGGTTCACCTAAAAAAACAAATTCTTTGCCCGACGACGATGATAAAAGAAGTCCATCACCGCAAAATTCTACAACAACAATTAATACAAGTGGAGGTGCATTTACTTCTTTAATTCAACGAAATACAGCTGCAGCTTTAAGAAAAACTGAATTTTTTAGTGGTTTTGCATCACAATTTCAACAACATCAACAACAGCAACAAGCAGCTTTTAATCCAGCTCTTGCTGCACAACTATTTTTACAAAATCCATTGATTCCACAACCGAGTCAATGGTTATATACACAATTATATGGAAATTATTATGATTTGCCATGGTTTAGGAGTAATACAAATTCATCGAATTTACAAAATGGAGGTACACCTCCAACACATTCATCATTAATATCAAATGTTCATAGCACTGTTAGTCCTTCTGTTGATAAAACAAATGGATTGAAAAATTCTGATGAATGTATTAATTTGGCAACAAAACGGACTTTAACAACATTAATTGGACATAATAGTGATAAAGAAAATGATCATGAGAATCAAAATTCACCTCCAGTTAGTTCTAGTCAAAGATCATTAAGTCCACCTGAAGATATTGATGATAAACAAAGTGTTGGAAGTATTGGTGGTGGCGGTGGTAGTGGTAACAATAGTATTGGTGCTATTCGATGTCGAACTCCAAAGCACGCTGATGTTTGGCGGCCATATTAGTGCAGATCGGGATTTTTCGTTTTATGTTTTTATTTATTCTTTTTTTTTGAAGAAATTAAGTTGTTTTTTTGTCTTATTCATTTCGTTTTAGATTAGAAAGTTTTGAAAAATTGTTATAAATAAAACTTATTATTGTAAGCAAAATTAACTTCATATCCGTAGGATAAACCAAATAATAAAATTAATTAAAAATTATTAATTATGTCCCTATTTTCATAAATGAGTGCCCCCTATGCATGTCAAGCGGGTCAACTTTATTTTCTTTTATTTCATTATTTTCAAAGAACCGTTGTAGTTATGCAAAAGGACACTGTTTAACAACTCTAGAATCGATAGTCAGTGAAAATATTTTTTTTTGTAGTAAAAATTATTAACCGTCTTATTATATTATTAATTAAAATTATTCAAACCGGGATTTTGTGAAAGGATGATTATGTTTTTTTGCTTTAGAAAATCCAATAGCGCAAAAACTTAGTAAGTAAAGGCAAATAACTAATCTTAACAGTGTCTGACTTGTTTAGGAAAACGAAAGATTTTTTTTTGAATATTATTTCCAATAAGTTTTAGCCGACACTCTTATTTAGAATTTCTTTTTTTTAACATTAAAATCTTGATTAAGTGTTGACATGGATTTTACTTTATATAGTAAATTTTGTATAAATTTAGAAATTGTAGTAAAATACAAACACAACATTCTTATTCGTTCCCACCTCCATTATTGTTAAAAAATAAAAAATTTACTAACCCACACTGGCAACATTGATCTTATTAAAATTTTTGAGTCTTATTAAAATTAATGATTCTTTTTATTAAACTATTTTAGTAATCCCTTTATGTTTTAACATTCACACTATAACGTATACGATACATTCCTTTTTAATTAAAATTTTCTTTTAAAAGGATCTCAATATTATTATAGTGTTGACCTTTGTATGTATAACTGGCAAGGATAAAGTAGAAAAGTATAAAAACAGATTGATTAAGTAACCATATTTACTTGACGTGATTCATGAATCTATATAAAAATATCTTTTTTGGGGTCTAATATTGTCAAAAATTTTCTAATAAAGTTTTCAAAAAATTGTGACAGAAATTGATTAGAAAATAAAGAAAGTTTTGATAATAAGAAAATGTTGTTAAAAAAGAAGCTGCGGTGTAACATCAAATAGTTTCAAATTATTTAGGCAGTTTTTAAATTCTTGAAAAAAGTTAGGGTGTTGAAGCGGAGTATATATGGAGGTTGAATTGAAAAGTAAAAATGAAAATGCCATTACTGGCCTTCAGATTTCAATTTAATTAACGAATGCCATATTGGAGACGAAGGGCTTACCGTGAAATTCTAGTCATTTCTTCCTTTTGTTACATAAGATAGCTGCTTATGTAGTCTTTTCAGCAAACAGAAAGTTTTGTGAACTGAAATCGTAAAACATCCAAGTTGAATTAAATATAGTCTTGGACTTTTGAACTTTTGAACTTTTGTGCAATTGATTTAGAAATATTTCGAAATATTATTTTAAAACTATTTCTAGACAATAATTTGAAAAATTCGGTATTAAATAGACTTTTACTCTGTTCTGTCTGTTATTATTTGCTCTGATTAACAAGACATCAGATGGTCTACATTTTCTTAAAAAACAAAAGTTTTTCGTCGTCTAGCTTTATAAAATAAGAAACGACAATATTTTCCTTTCTATTTCTTTTCTTAAAAAAAATTCTGTTTCTTCAAACCTTAACTTTTATTATACTTTCCTCTTACTTTACATGGAATCGGACAGAAGAAAGGGAGGATTTATTTTAATCTTATGTGATCTTAACAAATTGTTTTTTAAGAATTCAGTCAATATTTTAAACACATACATTTTTTTTGTGTTTTTTTTTTAAGCAACCAAACGATTTACGAATAAATCTTCGTCCTTCAGTGTTTTCTTTTAAAACTTTTTTGTTTTTTTTCTAAGATTCAATTTTGTTATACTTTATGGGAAGAAAAAAACAATAAGTCGAAGAAACAGAATTTTTAAAAATTGGGTACTTTTTTCTTGGCATTCTCTAAATATTAAAGGGGAAGCCTTGTTTGCAGAAACTTTTTTTTTATCCCATATTGATTTGATGTTAAGGGGGAGGAGGCGGAAAGAAAGGAGAAAATAAACTGTTGACTAAGTTCCCATGTTTCTTAATAAGCGATATTTTGGATTTTCTTTCTTTTTGGTTTTTGTTTCTTAAATGGTATTATGTGTTTTAGATTTAGTGAAATATTGAGTCTTCCGAAGGATAATTGGAAAAGAAAATAAATTTATCGAATAGAAAAGAAAACAAAAAATGTTTCCTTTGGATTATAATTATTTTAAATCACCTTGATATTGATAAGGTACAAATTATAGGGATTATGGGGATGAAGAAGAAAAATTATATAAGAATAATAAAGTAGAAGCTTTAATAAACTGAAATCGAATTTTGTGGTTTTTTGTTTTGCTTTAAAAATATTTAGAAAAAAAATTTTTGTTTAATTTTCTTGCATTAAAATGTTTTGATAAATTTCTTATAGAGAAATTTTATCCTTTAAGTTATTTGAACAAGGATTGTGGAATGAAATTAAGTTTTTCATGTATAGTTTATTTGAAAATTTAAGTCTCGTATGTTCATTTTTTAATTTTTTTATTATTTTATAAAATTATAATTATAAATTACTTACGAGTATTTTCAGATATTTCATATACTAATAAGTGTCCTCAAACGATAATCTCGGGCAACGGTGCGAAATCTAATATTTTAATCCGAATTCTAAAATTGCTATTCCATATGTGGGTTAATAGGCATTTTTTCTTTTAAGATTTGCTATATAAATTTTGAGAACAACACAAGTTGGCCAACCTCTCGAAAACAAATCTTGTTCCACCTCTTTTACTCAGGCCCAATTGTAACTACTCTAATATGACACATACAAGAGAAAATACACAGCCTTTTTTTGGAGCTCAGCAGACTTTTTCATCTTTCTTAAATTTAGTAGCAAATAGTTTAGTAAAAAATATTTTTATACCCGTACGAATATACATATGTTCTAAATTTGCCTTACCGTTCAAAATGCTAACAAATGATGGTCTGGGATGTAGACATAAGCATATGTTTTTAATCAGCGTAGAATTCTGGGTCGAATTAATCATGTTTCTCCGTCCATTCGTATTTCTTGATTTCTTGTTGTTGCTGTTCTAACTTAAAGTCATAGTCTCTCTCATAGTCAGCTATGACATATTTTGTTCACCCATATAATAACAAATTCATATGGTTATCAGAGAGTTGACATGGTCTACTCTGTTTTTCCCCGTTTTAATTAATTTGGCATTTTAATTGAAAATTTTATTATTTAAGCATTATAGATTTTCAATACCGCTAGATTGTGTTCGCAAATTTTCATATTTATTTGGTCTTTGTTTAATTTTTACACTCATACATTAATTAAATTTCAAACAATTGAAAAAATTAAAATTAATGCTTCAAATATTGAATTTAAAAATCATTTTAAATTGATCAGATTTTTTTATATAATTTTTTAATGAACCAAAACTCTTCAATTTTATTCCATAATTAAAAACAATTTTTATTTTGCAATTATGACAAAGAAACTATTTTTTGAATATATTATTAATTAACGCAAGTCAAATAATTAAGTAGAAAAAAAAAATTAAATAAAAAAATCGGCCATTTTTTTTTTCTTTTTTTTTGTGATTGAAATAAATCTATTGGAAAAGTCTCAATAAAAACCACACAGTTGTGGTAATTGATTTCAATGTTGGAAAACTTTAATATTGGTTCAAACAAAAAAAAAAGGGAAGGAAAAAAAGATATGTGAATGTAGAAAAAAAAAATAAGATGAAATTAAAGGATTGTTCCTGTCAATTGTAGTATCATTTATAAATTTTGTGATTAGTTGTAATTTACGGAAACGAGTCCTTTTAATTGGTTCTATCTTTGAATTTCACGACTTAAAATTTTCATTTTAAATATTTAACATTTTTCTATATTCAGCGGGTTAAGTTTAATCTTGGGTTTGAAATATAAGCTTGACATAAAACACAGAATGAGAAAAGTTTTTCTAGAAGAAAGTAGACGCAAATTCCGACAACAAAGGTAAGTACGTTGAATTAAAAAAATTTTTAATATAGACGAGCAACGTAAAAATACAAAATAAATGAACTTTTGAACAAGAGCTTAAAAAGATTTCAAATTTTTCCTTATTTACCACGGTTTTTTTTTCTTATCCAATTATGCCTAGTTTAACTTGAAGGATATTTTTGTTTCTCTTTATAAACGCTATTAAAAATGCAAAAACTCTTCTATAAAAATCAGTTTAACGAGTTAGTTGAAAATATTTTCTTAATATTGCAAAAAAAGTCCTCAAAATTAACTATCTCTAAAGAGTACATAGAGGAGACCAGAATGACTTCTACTTATGCAGCTGCCTAAATAAAAGTTTATAGAGAGTTCGCTACAATCAGCTTAATTTCGTATGAAAAGCGTCGATATATGTACTTAAAATTTAAAACATCAGAATTAGTTTAAAGCAACAAATTATATAACGTGGCCCTATTGCACCAGCCACTTTTTACCCTCTTAAAATCTTTTTTACTCTTTTTACTATTTTACTAATCAACTTTTAGGAGAAGTCCTTTTTTTTGTTGTAATACGGTCCTCGTTTGATAATGATTCGTAATTAATAACATTTTTTTTGAGCGTATCTTCTAATAATGGGGAAATATTTTATAAATTTGTTTCTAATTTTAAATTTATGGAAACTCAATCACTATAATATTTAATACTGCTGGGGGCATCAGATTCCTATTAAAATAAATCGACTTATGTTTCAGCAACCCAATCTAATGCAAATCAAAATTTTTTGAGCAAATGTAAGTTTTAATTTAATTTTTGAAGACCATGAATTATTAACTTCCTAAGACCATTATTTTTCTGCAAATTTTATAACAGCCAAGTATGTTTGCTCAGCTCTTCATTAGTTTTCCTAAACTAGAACCTGCTTGGTTTGCTTATCTTTTACTAGCATTCTCATATTTACTTAGAAAACGAAAATTACACGTTTGATTAACAACATTTTTTTTTGTATTTTAAGTGGACAATTTAATTATTAACACTTAGTAAAATATTTATTTTTTT